AGTGTCTGGGGTCTTAAAAGCCTGTGAGCAGCCATCTAAGATACTCCACTGGTCTCACCCCTTCGGGAGCAAGGGAGAATGAAAAGAACAGGACACAAGGTAAAGATTAGTCCAAAGGACTAATGGACCACAGCTACCAAGGCCTCCATCAGACTGAGTCCAGTACAGCTAGCTTGGTATCCACCACTGACTGCTCTGACTGGGATCACAACAGAGGGGTCTGGACAGAGCTGGAGAAGGATGTAGAACAAAATTCTAATACACACAAAAAAAGACCAGATTTACTTGCCTGACAGACTGGAGAAACCCCAAGAGTATAGCCCTCAGATGCCCTTTTAGCTCAGTTGTGAAGTCACTTCCGAGGTTCATCATTCAGTGGGGGATTGGATGGCCCCATAAAACAAAATGGGACTAATGAGGCACACCAGTCCAGGGACAAGGATTAGAAGGCAGAAGGGGCAAGAAAGTTGGTGATAGGGAACCCAAGTTTGAGTAAGGACAGTGTTGACATGTAGTGAGGTCGTTAACCATTGTCATAGGGCAACATGTGTACTGTTTAATGAGAAACTATTTTGTTCTGTAAACCTTCATCTAAAGTGAGAATAGCAGCACAACTGGAAGAACGTAATCGATGTCACTGAATTGTGCATGTAGAAATTTTTGAAATGGTGTATCTTTGGCTATGTATATTTTCACCAAAAAAAGAAAAAAAAAGGGTCAAGAAGGTAGAGTGTTGACATGTCGTGGGGTTGTTAACCAATGTCATAAAACAATATGTGTACTGTTTAATGAGAAATTATTTGTTCTGTAAACTTTCACCTGAAGTACAATTAAAAAAAAAAAGGAAAAAATAAAATAAAATATATGTGAGAGCACTCTCAACACCACGATGTAAGCCACTGTTAGATCTGAGAAAAAAGAAGTCATTTCCTTGTTTGTACATTTTCCTCGTTGACTTCATAAAAATCTCACAATCTTGTTTAGACACTGACTTTATCAGTTACCAAATCACAAAATTTTAAGGATAGAAAGCACTTTGAAAATCACCTAAGCCAACATGTTCCAATTTGTAAAACAGAAAAAAAAAAAAAAAGCAGGAGTGATGAAGAAAGTATTCCATATTTAAATACATTTGAGAAACACTGGATTAAACAACATACATTGTTTCTGTATTGTGCGACTTCCTGGGGCCTTAAATATGTTAGCACACATTTCCCAAATCTTGTGTGACCACGGAGACCATTTTTCACAAGGTCTTTCAACATCCCCTCGGGCCAGTTTCAAAAAACTGTGAGGTCTTACAGAGCCTGCCCAAAATCATATAGCTAGACTTTACTTAAACAAACAATGTAAAATGCACCAATCAATACCGTCTTAATTTTCTTTAAATTAGACTCAATTTGGCCTTTTAAAATACTAGTACTTACACAGATTATATTATTTGCTGCCACCATTATCCTGGCACCATCAGCAGACCAGGAACAACATTTTACTGTCACTTCCATATCCTCTTGAGTCTCTTCCGCATTTAGGATCTGCTTCACATTAATGCTTTTCCTCTCATTTGCTGATCTCACATCCCAAAGCTTCAAATAAAAAATTTAAAAAAAGTTTTTTTAATCTCAAATCACACCCCTAGAATTCCACCTGGACTAAATGTCATGTAAAATTAGTCACTTCACCTAATGAATTATTTTTACCTATGCACGGCTTTTTATGACTCTTAATTAAGTACTCCAGTTTCATTCACCTTCCTGAAAAGAAAAAAACTAGAAGCACTCCCCAAAACGCAGAATGTAAAATCAAATAAAATGTTAAAGAGCTTTGCAGAGTGTGGAGGAGGTTAAAGATTAGGTCTTAACAATAAGGACCAGCCACGAAGGAAAGGCATAAGATGAGACGAAGAGACTCACAACTTGACACTGCTGCCCTCTGCTGTGCCAGCCATAACTGCTTAACATCTACCGCACACACAGCATGGACAATACACAGGACGCAGTCCAAGCAGAGCATCCAGAGACATAAAGACACCCCTGAAAATACAAAACAAAGAATATGCTAAAAGGAAGCAAGACACCCTATGTGCTAGGTGTGGCTAGAAAGAGCTATAAAGCCAACTAAATCCTGAGGAATGGAATACAGAATACTCCAAACCTCACACACCAGCAGAGCATGAAAGACTTAAGCACCATGAAAGACAAAGGCCTTTGAGAAGCTCGATCTTCACTCCCCTGCACCTTGAGCAGTGTCCCAGCTTCACAGAGTGGTAACAGTTGCCATCCCCAGACCAAAAGTTGGCCAAAGACAAGGACCAAAAAAGCTGCTTCTTAGGCTTTAACTCAGCTTCCAAAGGGCTGCTCCCAGGTGAAATCCGATCTGTCTTGCTAGGCACACTTTAAAATCTCTGTTGAGTTTAGAGAGAGTTATTATATATACTAAAAAATATAGCCAAAACCAAAACCTTTCACATTGTAACAACTGTGGATAAAGTGGATAAAGTAAAAGAGACAGCAGGCAAAAAAAAGTTAGCCTTCCCTGACAGTAACGTGGAAAAAAAAAAAAACCCTAACCATAAATGCCAAGAGCTTCACTCACATCAGCCAGAATCTATAAGAAATCACACTGTTTCTTTCTTAATCTGGAAAACAAAACAACCAATGCCTGGATTTCAGAAAGAAAAAGAAAACTAACACTACCCAATTACATTATATCTGCCTAAACCACATCTTCTGCTTCTGGACCTAGTGAAGCCCTGACTTCAGCTTCTAACCTAGTAGTGATGAAATCTCACATATCAAGTGACCAAGTAAACTGACACCAGCATTTCATTTTGAGCAAATCACTGCACTGTGTCCAGGGCTCATGTGCGCCCTGAGCCCATCTATACCTTAAATGGCAATTTTAACACTTGCGTTTTTAAAGTTTATCATCAAAGTCTGAAAAACACCTACTTATAAACGTGATACCCTACAAAATGTTTAGAAAATTACAGAGCCATTTAGGGCAGGAAATAATTTTACAATTCTTCATTCTCTCAGAAGATAAACGCTTTGGAAGATTTTGACCTTGAAATGCTGCTATCCAACATCATTTTGCAGGACCTCTGTTTACTATATGTCACTGTATCAGTGCAAACCAGCCAAGTATACAGGTTTAACAGCACTGTGGGGAAGCTGTCATAAACACAGGCAGTTTTCACCAAGAGTGCAGTAATGTCTGGACCCTGCTGCTAGTGCTCTGTGTTCTACAAACACATTTTGATACCTACACATGAATACAAAAATCAAAATCCTATCCCTGACAAATGAAGAATTTTTAAAATTTTTCTTTGAGTTTGATTTGAAGGGGACACAATAAGGGTTTATCGTCTTGAACACATTTATTAAACTCTCTGCTAGTCACTTTGAGGTTATATAAATGAATCAGATATACATACTATCCTCAAGGAGTTTACAGGTTAGTAAGGAGGCAAGACATGCACATAAATGACTCTAACACAAGATATGTCAGATGTGTCCTTTGAGAGGAAAAGACAGAGCACAGTGGGAATGCTGTACTCAAGCTACAGGCTTGAGGGAACACAATGTGCATGAGGTAACCACCTCACTCTACCCCCTAAAGATTAGCCTTCCTTCCACCAACTTAAGATGGACAAGATTTCAACACCAAAAACACAGGAGGAACACTCTAAGACCTAGAGTCTAGGCTAAGAGGTCAGCATAAGCTCAAGCACAGAAAGGGAAAGGAAAGATACCAAAATAAGTTCAGTCTGGTTAGAGCAACCCAACTCACACCACAGAATTTCTAATATGCTCATGAAGTGTTGGCACTGGTACTTTTTGGTAAAAGTGGAGCTAAATCAGGAGGAATTGTTGAAAGTCCACTGAACTCCCCTCCACTACTCTGCATATCCAGGTTCTGCCATGTACCTACTCTGGTTGAAGAACAGAGGGTTATTCTACACCCAACACAGCTCAGTATTGGGGCAGGGTCACCATAGCAAAAATAGAGGAATTAAGAGAAAGTCTATATGTAAAGGTCAAGATCTCTACCTAGACGTTGTCCTAGAACTTGCCTGCCAGGCTTATATCCTATAGGTAACAGACTGAAGATTCTTCTCTGAAAACCTCTTTAGAGACAGATGAAGACAAAAGATCTAAAGAGTCTGACAGCAAGAGTTTACCCTCAAAACTTCACAGCCAGATAACTCTATATGGAAACCCACAAAAAACAAGTTCAGAGTTCTCAATCAGCTTTTTGATGCTGCAGTCTTAAAGATGAGCAGAGAGCCAAGGATCAGACAACTGAGAGATGTCTCTAACATCCAGACAGAAACAAAAACCAACAAACAGAAAAACCATAACTACGCAGGTATTTGAAAACTTAAAAAAAAAAACCCACAAAAAGATAAAAAATGTTGCATTCGTGAAACTAGAGTACGATAATACTTTAAAAGGGAACATAATAAAACTGGCTATTTAAATTGGGTACTTGAAATTACGATAGCAGAAATTAAAAACTGAATAGCAAGGCTGGAAAATAAAGTTAAAGAAATCTTCCAGAAAGTAAAGCAAGTGGACAAAGAGAAGGATGGAGAGAAAAACATTAGAAAACATCCAAAAACAGGTATTCCAGAAAGAAAAAACAGACAGGAAGAAATCAAATAATAATTCAAGTAAACCTCCACAAAGCATCTAAGTTTCCAAAGTAAAAAGTCACTAAGTGCCAAGCACAATAAATGAAGACAGACACCAAGGTATATTATCATTAAAAAAAAAAAAAAAAAACTGGGGATAAAGAAAAGACCCTAAAACTTTCAAGAGAGAAAAACAGATCACATACAAAGAATCAGAAATAAGAATGGCTTCAAGATTCTTAAGAGGAACTTTGGAAGCTAGAAGACAATGAAGCCATGTCTCTAAGATTCTGAGGAAAAAATTTTCAATCTAGAATTCAGTACAGTCAAAAATATCCAAGTATGAAGTTATAATAAAAACACTTTGATAGGCAAGGTCTCAAAAATTTACTTCCTGTACATCTTTCTTAGGAAGCTAGAGGAGATGTCCCATGAAACTGAGAGAGAAAGAGAAGATGGTAAGAAATCCATGAAGCAGAGGTTTTAAGAGAAAAGCAAAAGCAATTACCAGGATGATGATAAAAGGACATCACAGGAGGGCACCTGGACACGAGGAAAGTAGCACTGATCAGAATGGAACAAGACAAAAGGCTCCAAGAAAATTATTTCCAAGAAAATAAAATTTATCAGATACGTGGTAAGTTTGAGTGATTTAAGAAGCAATTTAGACAAGGGACAGTCTGAAGATGAGTTGGTAATAAGTATGGGAAAAACTAAGCAAATGAAAAAACAAAACTATAACCCCAAGGAAAACAAAAAATTGCATGAGAAAGGAAAGACTGATATTATGCTACATGGTACAACTGTGACTAATCACAATGATGTAAACCCTGAACATTGATCTAATCAAAACCAGGAGAAATGTAGGGACCACAAAAAGTGGGCCCGGTTTGGGAAGAAAAATAATTAGGTTTGAGCACAATAAGTTTGAGGTATGGTGTGTTAAATTTAAGTGACAACAACTAAGAGGCAGTGAGAAATGCAGGACACAAACATAAGAAAAATGAAGGCTGGAGATGATACATCTGAAAGTCACTCACAGAAGAGATGAGAGTTGAAGCCATGAGACCAGATGAACTAGCATGGAGGCAGCAGTCAAGGTTAGATGCTAGAAGAAAGGTTATATTTTAATAGGCATGGAAAAGAGTTAAAGAAAGCATTAGAGAGATAAGAGGAAAAAGGAATAAAACACTGATACCAAATGAGGAGAGTTTCAAAATAGAAATAGGTGGTCAATGAGGGTTTGAAAACTGATAATAAAACAAAAAGGATAAAGAATGGGAAAAGAAAACTATCATTAGACTTCACACTAATCCAATAGCCATTAGACTTTTTGACAAAAAAGAATGGAGACTCCAAATAAAACTGAGTTTATACTCTTCAAGGAAATACAGGAAAGATGGAAGCCAGGTAAATAAAGGGTTAAGTAGTAAGCAGGTAGTTAGAACATGGAGGCAAGTACAGATGACTTAAGAAGTCTAGTCATAAAGAGAAAGAGAAAAACAGAATGGCTATGTGAGGATAATATAATCAAGGAAGAATCAAAGGCTTTCGGTTTTGGGTTTTATAAAGCTCATCTGCAGGCTTTGGGAAATGATCCAAAAAAGAAGAAAAGGCTAAAGATATAAGAAACAAGGTGCCAGGGGAAGAAGGAAAGAAAGGAACAGTAGGTATAAGGGGGGACTTTCTGGGCACTGAGACGAGAAAAAAAAAAGGAGAATAGCCAAAGAGTAAAGACTTTTTACAATTTTTGAGGGGGCTCACCCTCTGAAAAGGTATGAAGTAAGGTTATCCCCATTTAATAATGGGGAGGAACTGACAAGGTTGGGGGCTTAAGAACAGCAGAGAAGGTTTAGAATAGGCACTACAGCGAAAACAGCAAATCAATTAAAAATGAACAGAACCACAATTCAGCAGCAAAGAAGGCTCAACTGAGTTGCACAGCACAAATTTGTAGTACAACAAAAAAAATGGCCTGGTTTCAAACTTTCTTGAACATTCAACAGCCTAATAATAATGGAATAATAGAATCTTCCCAGAACTTGCAATTAGCAATGGAGATAAGATGGAAGGAGAATGTGGCCTGAGACATAAAATGCTTTCTTCTGAAGTCAGTCACTTAGTAAAAACAAAGAAAAAAATAGGCTCCTAGGACTGAAAGGAACTCTCAGAATAGGTGTTCTGCAAAAGCATCTATGATATTGATTATCCTAAAGGAACAGACAGACACTTGGTATTTGTAGGTAACATGTCATGGAAGTTCAAATCCATTTATCTGAATAAGAATGCTCCCAGCATCTACTAACAGCTAACTAAATTTTACAAAGTAGAATTCTACCTAGAAAAGCCTCTTAGACACCCTGGAGCAATTTATACCAAAATAAGTTTATTTTCAGTCAGCAAAGAGAGATCAAAGATTCAACTAGCAGATCAGCATCAAGAAAGTTTACCATTACCTGCCTTAGAAGTCATCTTGTAGCCTTAACAAATCTCCTTCTCTGAAGATTCTAACAAGCAAAATAGTGGCTAGGAGGGTTCAAGTATTTTCCTGGATAAGGTATATGTCAAGAAAATTTATTCAGTCATGGTTTGGGTACAATATTGCACTATGAACTTCAGAGAAAAATAAAACAAGATGACAAGGTCTGCACATCATAAACCTATATTCAACCTTATCAAAGAAATAGAAGACATATGAAATGACTGAAAAGTACAACACAATGACAAGCAGACATCAGAAGAAGTTAAGGCAAGCAGTTTCTATCTATATATTTAGGTATATATGTAGATAAAGACATACAGAGACAGGTGTGTGTGTGTGTGTGTGTGTGTGTGTACTGAGAATCAAACGTATGTTGCAAAAAACCATCTTCCGAAGAAGGTTTTGCTTAAAAGTTTTGAGGGTCATTAAAAAATATAGACAAGTGAATTAGAGACCAAAAAAAATCCCCCCAAAAGGCTAATGAAGCATATATAGGGACAGTGACTGAAATAAGCACCAAAAATTACCTTACCAATAACAATTAATTTATGGGGGCTAGAAGAAATGAATTGACAGGAAAGAAGGTGGCAGAATGATGGAAGATGAGGCATCTTAGAAGTAAGCCTGATGGAGTCTGGGTTTACCACAATTTATAATATGGTACTATTTGTGTTCCAGCTAAAAGTGAAAAGATGAAAAGGGTGGTAAAGGATTATTCTAGCAGCCCTGTACTGCGGTAAGGAGAGGTGGAAAGTGCATCTTAGAAGGCTGCTATCAGACATGAGGAATGACAGTCTGAGCCAGAGCAAATATTATAAAATGGGAGAGAAAAGGTAGACTGAGAGACAAAGATGGAATCAGCTTAAGACTAAAAGAAGAAAGGAGCATCAATAAACAAGACACTACAAAGACAGGAGAGACAGAAATTATAAAGAAATCGGAACTAGGATCTTATTTGAGAAGGTAAAGATTGAAGAAGGAAGAATTTAGTTTTTAAGGACTATAAATTTCAGAAAGTTGAATAAGCTTTTTTCCCTATCTCTAAGTTTTTCCCCCATATGCCTTCTCAAAAACAGGAAAACATAAAAGGCAGAAAAAGTGAATGTTAAATTAAAGCAGGACCTTTACAAATTTGACCTCACAGATTTCAAAGTATTTTATGAAGCCATAATATGGAATATGCGCTTAAAATTTAAAAATTCAAATTATATGAACTTTAAGCTTAAGGTTGTAAGTCACTCATAAACAATCATTATGACAAGCAATTACCGTTATACTAAATATGATCCTGGAAGTTGAAGGAAGAAACTCTTGCTATAGAAATATGAAAAACAGAAATCTACTTCCATAACCAAATCATAAGGCTTTCCAAACAACTGGATTCCATTCTGATGATGTAGAAAAACATACCTTTAATGATCCATCAGCCGAACAACTGGCCAAAAGCTTATCATCTGGTGAAAATCTACAGTGATTGACTGAATCTGTATGGCCAAACATGGTATTTCGACATTCTTTTTGATTCAAATCCCAGAGCTATTTGAGAAAGACGAAAAGATAAATTAAAAAAACTAGTACTGAAAGGGAAAAAGTTAAAAATCATGTTGAGTTCTTCCTTCCCTCCCATTTAAGCTTTTTCAGTTACACCATGTTCAATTCACAGTAACATAAAAGTGCCATGAACTTGAGATTAACAAGTCATGGGGCATCCCTTAAATCAGCATGTAATCTACTAAGGGACTCTAAGTCTAACTAGGCTTTTAGTCTGAGCACTAACTAGCCAACTGAACAATTACTGCTTATTTTAGTTGATTAGTTTGGAAACAGTATTTTACTCAGCATTTATACTAAGTAAGTAATATGTGATACAAAGCACTCAGTTTTTTAAAAATATTATGTTATCCAACTATAAAAATGTTCATTTCTAAGATTTACAAATGCAAATCTTGAATCTACAAAACTGGGCTAAAATCCACTAACACTATAGAGTATGACTCAAAATATACAAACATAATCTTTAGATTATACATTGACAGGAAATACAAGGGGTAAGAAGAGCAAGTTAAATAATACCTCAAGGAAACAATCAACCAAATACACAACGTGGGGCATTCCACAGGACAAACTATTCGATTTCTCTAACAAGTCAGTAGCATAAAAAACGGGGTCAAGAGGAAAGGGAACTTTTATAAGTAAGAGAGACTTAAGAGACCTAACCCCCAAATGTCACATGAAGTTTGTTTGGATTCCAATTTCAACAAACCTACCATAGAAAGTCACCACATGTCTGTCAGTTTGTTCTACTGTGGTGGCTAGCATGCTGCTGTGATACTAGAAGCTTTGTCACTGATATTTCAAATACCAGCAGGGTCCCCCTTGCTGGACAGGTTTCAGTGGAGCTTCCAGACTAAGACAGACTAGGAAGAAGGACCGGACGGTCTACTTCTGAAAAAATTGGCCAGTGAAAACCTTATGAATAGCAGCAGAAAATTGTCTGATACAGTGATGGAAGATGAGCCCCTCAGGTTGGAAGGCACTCAAAACACACAACTGGGGAACAGCTGCCTCCTCAAAGTAGAGTTGATCTTAATGACGTGGATGGAGTCAAGCTTTCACGACCTTCATTTGCTGATGTAGCACTACTCAAAATGAGAAGAAACAGCTGCAAACATCAATTAATAATTGGAATATGGAATGTACCAAGTATGAATATAAGAAAATGGGAAGTCATCAAAAATGAACTGGAATGCATAAAGATCGATATCCTAGGCATGACTGAGCTGAAACAGACTGGTATTGACCATTTTGAATCAGACAATCATATGGCCTGCTATGCTGGGAATGGCAAATTGAAGAGGAATGGTGTTGTGTTCATTGTCAAAAAGAACATTTCAAGATCTACCCTGAAGTACAATGTTGTCAGTGATAATATCCATATACCTACATAGTTAATACGACTATTATTCAAATATACGCACCAACCACTAAGGCCAAAGATGAAGAAATTGAAGACTTTTACCAACTTCAGCAGTCTGAAATTGATCAAATATGCAATCAAGATGAATTGATAATTACTGGTGACTGGAATGCGAAAGCTAGAAACAAAGAAAGACTGGTAGTTGGAAAATATGGCCTTGGTGATAGAAACAATGTCAGAGATTATATGACAGAATTTTGCAAGACCAACAACTTCTTTGTTACGAATACCTTTTTTCAACAACATAAACTGCAACTGTACATGTGGACCTCACTAGACAGAATACACAGGAATCAAATCGACTACATCTATGGAAAGAGACGATGGAAAAGGTCAGTATCATCAGTCAGAACAAGGCCACGAGCTGACTGTGGAACAGACCATCAATTGCTCATATGCAAGTTCAAGTTGAAGCTGAAGAAAATTAGAACAGGTCCACAAGAGCCGAAGTATGACCTTGAGTATATCCCACCTGAATTTAGAGACCATCTTAAAAACACATCTGATGCACTGAACATTAATGACCAAAGACCAGACAAGTTGTAGAATGAAATAAAGGTCATCATACAACAAGAAAGCAAGAGGTCACTAAAAAGACAGGAAAGAAAGAAAAGACCAAACTGAATGTTGGAAGAGACTCTGAAACTTGCTCTTGAAGGTAGAGAAGCTGAAAGGAAAGGAAGAAATGATGAACAGAAGATTTCAAAGGGCAGACTGAGAAGACAAAGTAAAGTATTATAACGACATGTGCAAAGACATAGAGTTAGAAAACCAAAAGGGAAGAACACGCTTGGCATTTCTCAAGCTGGGAGAACTGAATAAAAAATTCAAGCCTCGAGCTGCAATAGTAAAGGATTCTACGGGGAAAATACTAAACGACACAGGAAGCATCAAAAGAAGATGGAAGGAACACACAAAGTCACTGTACCAAAAAGAACTGGTCGGCATTCAACCATTTCAGAAGGTAGCATATGATCAAGAACCCATGGTACTGAAGGAAGAAGTCCAAGCTGCACTGAAGGCACTGGTGAAAAAAAAGGCTCTGGGAATTGACAGAATACCAATTGAGATGTTTCAACAAATGGATGCAGCGCTGGAAGCATTCATTCGTCTATGCCAAGAAATCTGGAAGACAGCTACCTGGCCAACCGACTGGAAGACATACATATTTGTGCCTATTCCAAAGAAAGCTGATCCAACAGAATGCGGGAATTGTTGAACAACATCATTAATATCAAACATGGTAAAATTGTGCTGAAGATCACTCAAAAGCCATTGCAGCAGTACATTGACAGGGAACTGCCAGAAATTCAAGCTGGATTCAGAAGAGGACATGGAACAAGGGATATCAATGTTGATGTCAGATGGAGCCTGGCTGAAAGCAGAGAATACCAGAAAAATGTTCACCTATGTTTTACTGACTGTACAAAGGCATTCAACTGTGTGGATCATAACAAATTATGGATAACATTGCGAAGAATAGGAATTCCAGAACACTTAACTGTGCTCATGAGGAACTTGTACTTAGACCAAGAGGCAGTTGTTCAAACAGAACAAGGGAATACTGTGTGGTTTAAAGTCAAGAAAGGTACACCAGGGTTGTATTGTTTCTCCATACATATTCAATCTGTATGCTGAGCAAATAATCTGAGACTCTGGACTATATGAAGAAGAACACAACGTGAAGACTCATTAACAACCTGAGATACGCAGGTGACACAACTATGCCTGCTGAAAGTGAAGAGGACTTGAAGCACTTACTGTTGAAGATCAGAGACAACAGCCTTCAGTATGGATTACACCTCAACATAAAGAAAACAAAAATCCTCACAACTGGACCCATAAGCAACATCATGATAAATGGAGAAAATACTGAAGCTGTCAAAGATTTCATTTTACTTGGATCCACAAACAATATCCATGAAAGCAGCAGTCAAGAAATCAAACAATGTATTGCACTGGGAAAATCTGCTGCAAAAGACCTCTTTAAAGTGTTAAAAAGCAAAGATGTCACTTTGAGGACTAGGGTGCACCTGACCATGGTATTTTCAATCACCTCATATGCATGTGAAAGCTGGACAATGAATAAAGAAGACCAAAAAAGAACTGATGCCTTTGAATTATGGCGTTGGTGAAGAATACTGAATATACCATGGACTGCCAGAAGAATGAACAACTATGTCTTGGAAGAAGTACAGCCAGAATGCTCCTTAGAAACAAGGATGGCGAGACTTTGTTTCACATACTTTGGACATGTTATCAGGAAGGACCAGTCTCTGGAGAAGGACATCATGCTTGGTAAAGTAGTGGGTCAGTGAAAAAGAAGATCCTCAAGGAGATGGACTGATACAGTGGCCACAATAGGCTCAAACACAGCAACGATTGTGAGGATGGCGTAGGACCAGGCAGTGTTTCGTTCTGTTGTACACAGTGTCGCTATGAGTTGGAACCCACTCAATGGCACCTAACAACATTTGTCTGTATTTTGGTCCAGTCCAGTATTTTCAAATTGTGTTCTGCAGGACCCTATCAAGGCACTATGAGGCAAAGGAGTAAGAGAGGGAACAACAGAAACAGTAGAAATACAGACCCACATCCCCACTTCAGTCAGAACTAACAGTTGTTTTACACACTGAGTTTCTATGTAAGTTTTCTTTTGAAGAAAAATAAAGATTTTGCTCCCTGAAAAGAGCTGGGTAGACAATTTTCAATAGCTTCTAAAATAAATAAATAAATTTATTTAAACGTCCAAACAGAGCCTGTGAGGTTTTCCAAATTGAAATGTCTTATGTACTCCTGCCAAAAAAAAACATTATCCCATTGCAAAGATGGTGTGACATCAAGGAAGAAAGGTTAGATGCTAAAGCAAAATATAATCCAAAAGAAGTTAACAGATCTCTCTGGGATTCCAGAAAATTTAACCTTGTTTTTTCAGCATGACAATTAAGGGGAAAGCAGATATGATCTTTTATAATTAATGACTATAAAATATTATTAAGCTATAGGGAATGAATATCTATTTCTGTCTTTTTGTTTTTTCCTGCAAGCACCTTTTCCCACTTTCTTCTGATAACTGAATTTCTCTTTTGAATCAAGCTCCACTTGTGATTCAAGTGGACCTCACCTCCAGAGGGCTAGACTTGTGACTCTTGGTCAATCCAAAGATTCCATCCTCCTGGCCACTGGAGTTATTTAGCAATGAGCACAGAACCCAAATCAGGTCAATTAGAGTCTGATCTAAAATTAAATCTATAGGATTTGGGAGGGAGACAGTTTCTCTTTCTTTGTGATTATGAGCTAGCTACAAGACCCATGTAGGCTTGGAGTTGAAGATGGCCACATTTCCTGCCACACAGAGAGCTCATGTCTGAACCATCAAAGCGGAGGAGCCTAAGGATGGAGAGGGAGTTAGAGCCTGAGAACATACTTTAAGCATCTGAATTTAGCTATGCCTGAAGCCATGCTCCCTCTAGACTTTTCAGTTATATAAGCAAATAATCTTTTTTTTGCCTTAAGCTAATAAGATAGTTTCTGTCACTTGCAACCAAAAGAGCCTCGATTAACAGATGGGGAAAAAAATCAAAGGAGGTGTTCTGATGTATCTATCAAATTTATCTACATAATTTTCATCATTCACACTTACTTTGAGGAAGTAATCACTTGATGCAGTGGCTAGGAGAAGGTGATGCCTGTCGTTCGTGAAATGGCAGCAATTGACTTGCTCTGAGTGCTCATCATAGGTATGTACTAGATTCCCAGTCATAGAATCCCAAATCTAAAAAGAATAGAGAAAACAAAATTTACAATTACTCCTTACTTTCAAAGGGAGAAGAGGGGGCAAAGCAAATGTGAGTTGCTTTGCGGGTGCTATCTAGCCTACCATGGCACTCATTTTCGCAATTGAACATGATGCTAATGAATACCTCCCCTCCCCTAAAATGTGGCATATTTTGTGTGGATGTGCTTTTAAAAATCCACTTGCAGGTCTACACGTGTTTTTCTACAGCATAATTAGAATATCATGAAAATTTTCTTCAAGGACAAATTTCACATGTTCCTACGCATAACAACAGCAGAGAAGTGCTAGAAAGCGGGGACATAATGGGCTTTAATGATTAAATTGAACGATTGTATCCAAGACCTTGTACACTGTTTGGTTCTCAAGAAAAAGTAATTATTATCATTCTAGTTACTATGTAAAACAACTAAGCAGTCTCTTCCATATAGCAACAAACAAAAAAATAAATTACTTAATGAATCTTCACTAGAATTCTGACTTTTTAAAGGTGCTAATGTCCCCTCCCATAGCATTTTCTTTGTATTTTATCAAAGCATTTATAGAATCCCCAGAAATCCAAAGAGTTTATCTTATTTTGGAGTTCTTTAATAGGTATCTCTGCCTCTCATCTTATATTTTGAGTTCTTAGAAAACAGAAACTCAGTATTATTTCCTTTTATGCCACATAGCTCCCAACACTTAAACAAAGCAGGCCTGACATAAACATTCCTCATTTTATTTTGAATTTTCACCCCACTAAGAAACACTAAAATTTTTTCAGTAACAAGACAGGTATAAAACAGCCTTGGCAGAAATGCCAATGCAGTTGGTACTGCAGGAGAATTTGCCAGAGCTTAGTCTTCTAGACAAAAAGAAAGATCCAAGCAGTTACCCACAGATGCAAAGACCAAAGAACCAGTTCCAACTCTGAAGCAACTAGAGTGACCAACTCCAAGCATGACTCAGCAAAGACTACAGGGTGAATTAATTGGTTAGTTCTAAAGCGGCCTAGAGAGTCCAGTCTATTAAGAAGTAGATTTTCAAAAGTCTCAATTTAGTCTGGACACTCCATAGCCCTCTTCAAATGAGTGAAAACTCCAGGAAAACCCCCAAGCCACCCTTCTTGCTCTCAGGTCCACCAAGACCCACCCCTCCTAATCAGGTTCAGTACTTCACAACTCCTTTGAAAAAAGTCTGAAAAGAGGCTTCCTCTCCAGGGATCAATGATAAAAATCCCTCAAATCTTCGGTTTCTCTAAAATGCCATATTAGTATAAATGCTATGGATAAAAGTCAAATTTAGAGAGAAGAGACAAGAAAAAATAATCAACAAAGTTATGAATCCTTGTTTATTTTTTGCTTTGTTTATCTTTCAGACAATAACCTAACTGATTGTTCATCTACCCAATTTTACACTGAATATCAGCCAGTTCATGAATATAAATAAACCTGGGTTGTTTCACAAATCATGTTTTACAACAGGAATCCAATCTCAGACAATTTTGTGCAACAACATTTTTTATCACAATGTACTTGAAGATTTAAACTGATATTTAACACATAGACCCATCTATAAATGGCAGGCAAATTCATAAATTTGTAATAGTTCTTCCCTGCTACCTGGTACAGGGTGAATAACCTAGGAATTTTCACTGGTGCTTCAAAATAAAGAACTTTTAGGTCATGTTAATTTACATCGGATAAAAACTGATTTCCTTCAAGTTAGCAGGTCAACAGGCAAGGGTCCTTTAACCCCACTTACCCTAGTCCCTCTATTACGGAAAAAGAAAATGAACTGTGTGATTACAACCCAAGAAGGAAATATTTTCTTACTTTCACTTTTTTATCCACTGAACAGGTTGCTATAAAGCTATCATCTGCAGAGAATGCACAGCAAAGCACTTCATCTTCATGAGCCTTGATTTCTAGAAGTTTCTCTCCTGTTTCAGCTTTGAACACCTGAACAGCAACGATAGAATCTATAAACCACTTAACTATGGGCCACCATTCAATAAAAACCTTCCTTTAAAACATCTTAATCAGTGTTATTTTGCAAAACAGAAATGAACCTTGGCAAAAGATACTCCAAAAATCAGAATTTCTGTATAATTTGTAAGCCTTAACATAAATATCAGTAAACAGAAGTGGTATAGTTTCAGCTTCAGTTCTTGAGAGTATTTTGGCAAACTCTTAACAATCAAATAGAAAACACTTCATTCAATATGTTTGCTTTCTGGGGCTCAGAAGCCAAAACTAATAAACCGTAAGATGTACACATACAGAAATAAGGCATGCAGTCATAATCCTGAAAAGACTAAAATTATCAAATACAAAAATTCAATTTAATTTTGTTTGCTTCAAAAGCAAAAGGCAAAGAGCACAAATGTAAAGGAAAATATTCATTCATATTTTCTGAAAAAAAAAAAAAAATTGAGAATCTAAAGGAAATTCTTTAAAGGACCTTAGAAAATAATCTAGCAAAATTCCTATTCAGTCAGTAATCTCTGCCTGAGTCTTTTATAAAAATAGAAATTTTATTTAATTGCTGTTTTTTTTACTCAGAGCCCTGTTCAATATGTTATGAAGTACTTATGTCTTTTAATAATCAGCATTTCCTCCTTATCGTTTGCTGGCACATGGATGATGGATAACTGAATGGAAGGGTAAAAGGTACTATTACATTATCTGGTTAAGTTTAGATTTATGAAAATACATAACATTATCTTAAAAATCTCTGGAGAAAGCTTCCATAAAATGCTCAAGAGATTTGGATTTCTCTGCTATTTCTAACGTGTATAATCTTCTTGAATTTTAGGATTTAAACATACCATAAACTGTACAGTATTAGGTACATACCTCTTACTTTTTCTCAAGAGGTATGTTTTACCTGTAAGGTTTTATCAGCTCCACAAGACGCTATTCTCTGGCCATCCTCAGAAAAGCAGGCATGGTAAACAGCATCTGTATGGGGGCGGACAACTAAGCGGGAGAGATTCTCGATGTTTTTTTTGTTTCTAAACACAAAAAATGAACAGAAACCCAATAAATAGAGTAAAAACAAGTATTTTCTTTCAGTAATAAAGTACCTTTTAACATAGAGTTATTTTCCCAAAAATACAAAATTCTCCAAATTAAATTACCGACATGTAAATGACAGAGCACACATCACCTGAAGAAAAATATAATGTAACAAAAGTGACATTTCAAGAGAAATGTTACCCTATATCAAGCAACCTGTCATCTGTTATAAATGTTGCTGAGTTGGAAGAAATCTAGTTAATCAAGTACATTTTACTTTCTATTTCCTTTGATATATTAATAATAATAACGTGCGGAGAAAACAAGGATGTTGCTGTTGTTGTTAGGTGCTGTCATGTTGTTTCCAACTCATAGCAACCCTATATGACAGGGCAGAAATGCCCCATGGCATTTTCTTGGCTGTAATTTTTATGGGAGCAGATCGCCAGGTCTTCTCCCATGGAGCCACCAGGTATGTTCGAACCACCAACTTTTTAGTTAGTAGCCAAGTGGTTAACCATTATGCCATCAGGGCTCCTATATAAGGATACCCCTTAAAAAATCACTACCTCTTTTAAAAGTAAAGATGCCATAAACAAAACGAAATTAATTTCCTAACTAAAATATGACATTATACCCACCATTATGATGATGCACTTTAAAACTGTTCTAAGTACAATTATTTGGACAGAGAAAAAAGATTAAGCAATGTAATTTTCTTTATATCTAAATATGCTAAATACCAACTATTCCACTTCCAACTCATAGCAACCCTATACAACAGAGTAGAACTGCCCCATGGGGTTTCCAAGGAGTGGCCAGTGGATACGAACTGCCGACCTTTTGTTTAGCAGCCGAACGTTTAACCACTGTGCCACCACGGCTCCACTATTCCACTAGTATAGGTATTATGTTATTTCTTCATGGTAAAAAGGGTAAAGAAACTTAATGTGTACTTAAAACAGGAAAAATGTATTAGAACACTGTCAGAATAACAGATATATAACACCCCAGTGAAGACTATGTCTTCGAGTACAAGTAACTATGTAAATGGTATTGTGCTTAGTCTAAGGGTCAAAGATTTAGAGTCAGACAGACCTCAGGACAAATCCTACTATCAACCACTTATTAGGTGTGTAAATTCAGGCAAATCACTGAACTTACTAAGTCTCCACTTCCTTATATGTAAAATGGAGGTAATGATACCTAAACACGCCCAGAACATAAAGATGCCACTGTTATTAATCTTAAAAAAAAAAAGAAACTAACCACACAAAAGACAGACCAAGTGATAAAAGAGAACATAAAGGTAAATGAGACTTAGACCCTGCCAAGAAATTATTGTAATTTACTAGAAGAGATAAAACAAGTAACTATAATATAAAAACTAGAGTGATGAGAACTAGGGAGAAGAACAGATAAGTTACTAGCAAAATTCAAAGGATTCGATTAAGAAAATATTCTTTCTTTCCCCTTAATCTACTCAATTCCCCCAATAAAGCTCAGAAAGTAACTTGTCACAATGATGGGTGTGTAGTAAATGGCCAAAAAGGATTAGATAAATGAACAAATGAATAAATGATTTATCTGAAAGCTGAAACTCCATTAAAGTTAATCTTATACCAAACTAAACCCTTCTACAGTAAAGAAAGAAAAGTCTTCTAGTACTGAAATAAAGTATTCTTTGAACATGGCCTGGTCAAAACCCAGTTAAAAAAATACAGCTATGAATGACTCCAACCATTCTGAGAGAAATGTCACAGGTTGAAATGCAATTGAAACAATACCAAAAAAAAAAAAAAAAAAAAAAGCAAGAAAAAGTAAAAATAACAAACTCAACAATTCATGAGAGAAAAAGAACTAAACCTATGCCCATTTGATTATCAGACCAAGTATTAAGACTATTCGAGCCACTAACTAAAAAATGAATTCATTCAATCTTCCACAAACTTCTATTCCATACTAACTATATGGACCAGGCAATGTGTGAAATGTTATTCTTAATAACAACTAGTATTTATTGAGAACTTTCTGTGAGTTGGTACACACACATGTAATCCTCACAACGATGCTATAAAATACTATTAGACAAAGGAGTTCAATAATTTGCCCCCAACTAATAAATAGCAGAGCTGGGATTTATGCCCAGGCAATCTAGAGCCAGTCTGTTCTTTTAACCTCCAAACTATTCTACATGATAGAATGAGAACTACTATGGGAGAAAAACAAGTAACCAGACAATCACCATAAATTGTGACAAATGTTATGATACTGGGTAAACACGAGTACTCTAGAATACAAACAGATCTAACTTAGCTCCAGTGAGTTAAAGGACTACTTCTCAGGGAGTGTGAAGCCTCTGCTTTCCAGGAAAGTATCAAAGAATGGTTAACCCTGGGAAGCAGGAGGTGGGCTAAAGATCAGAAGTATTTGACTTCATTTTACATCTCTCTAATATTGTTTTAATCAGGAACATGTATTACTTTCCAAATAAAAATAAAGCCGACAAAAATATTTTATTCAATTAGGTTTTAAAACATTCAAGGGGAGAGGGAAGAATGAACAGGTGCAGTACAGGACATTTTAGGCAGGGAAACTATCCTACATGATATTGTAATGGTGGACACATGATATTATTATGCATCTGTCAAAACCTATAGAACTGTACAACACAAAGAGTGAAATCTAATGTAAACTATGGAGTTAATAATAATGTATCAATATTGGTTCATCAATTATAACAAACGTACTACATGAATAGAACCTAAGATATTAACTAATAATAGGAGAAACAGTGTGCAAGGGGAGAGGGCATATATGGGAACTCTCTGTGCAATTCCTCCATAAACTACAGTCTGCTCTTAAAAAATAAAATCCTCTTTCACCACTTCCTTCACGGACCCTTCCTTGAATTCCTCACCCATCCAAGTCAATTACTCACTTCTCAGTCCTACCTCTATTTTATACATGCATCTACTGTTGCACTCATCACATTATATTGTAATTATTTGCTTAAACTTCTTTCTTTACTACTAGATGGAGTACCCTGGGGAGAGCCTGAGTACCTAGCAACAGTGTTTAGTGCATTACAGAAATTAAAGTGTTTGTTGAACTAAACTGAATTAAGGGTATCACCCATGACAACCTGACTGATCTGGAAAGAGGGCACAGGGTTATAAAAATTATAGATACCAACCTGGAGCTCAATTTAGATATAACTTATCCAGGTGAAAAAACTAACATTGGTACTTATTATTTCAAGTTATAAGAGACACGTGGCATATGGAAACAGCATGGAAAATAAAGCCAGAAAGACTGAGGATTTGAATCCCATTCAGCAAGCCACATGTCAATCTTTGTCAAGTCCCAATCTCTGTGTATCTCAGTTTTCTCATTTATAAAACAGGGCAAATAAAATCTACCTTATAAAATTGCTCTGAAGATTAAACAGAGTAACATATGTGAGCATATAACAGACGTTAAAAAGATGGTAGCTTAATCCTTCCTTTTAATAGTAATTGATAAGATCAAGCTAAGAGCAAGAGTGAAGCATAAGATGTCAGTTATTCGATGAAAGTATAATAAATATAATAAGGACTGTTTTGCTTTTAGGTCCCTGGGTGGCACAAATGGTTAAGCATTTGACCATTAACTGAAAGGCTGGCACCTCAGAAGACAGGCCTGGCAATCTGCTACCAAAAGGTCACAGCCTTGAAAACACTACGGAGCAGTTCTACTCTGTACACATGGGGTTTGCTAGGAGTCAGAATCAACTCAGTGGCACAATTAACAACAATAAAAATGTGCAAGGCAAAGTGCCATCAATTTATAACCATTAAAAAACCAAAACCTGTTACTGTCGAGTCGATTCCGACTCATAGCGACCCTGTAGGTCAGAGTAGAACTGCCCCATAGAGTTTCCAAGGAGCGCCTGGTGGATTTGAACTGCCAACCTTTTGGTTAACAGACATAACTCTTAACCACTACACTACCAGGGTTTATAACCATTATCTCATTTAAATCTGCATTAAATACTTCTAAAGATTATTCTCTCCATTTTAAATATGAGAAAAGGTCCCTGTGTAGCACAAACTGTTTGCGCTGGTGGGACGGTGGTTACAGCACTCGGCTGCTAACCAAAAGGTCAGCGGTTTGAACCCACCAGCTGCTCTGTGAGAGAAAGATGTGGCAGTCTGCTTCCATAAAGATTACAGCCTTAGAAACTCTATGGGGCAGTTCTACTCTGTCCTATAGGGTTGCTGTGAGTCAGAATCGATTCAGCAGCACTGGTTTTGGTATTTTTTTTGGCACTAACCTAAAGGTTGGCAGTTCAAACTCACACAGCAGCACAATGGAAGAAAGTCCTGGCAATCTGCATCCACAAAGATTACAGCCTAGAAAACCCAGGTCTGTGACTTAAAGTCCATGCTCTTCACCACTCTACTACACTGAAATAAAGTCAAGCATTTGGTATTAATATTTAGGATGGCTTGTCAAAATACCTTATAGTCAAGCGTCTACTTCTAAGGATTCTTTGAAAACAATTATTTTCCCCTATGCTTACTTCTTTGGAACTTTTCATTAAGAATACTTATGAAAAGTTATAGCTCTGTTCAAAGTAGTTAAATCTTTCTGGAGTGAACTTGTTCACTATATGAAAAATAATGACATAGTTAATGCTCAGCTTCCTTTGGCTTCGCTCCTAACCTACTTACATCCACTCCAGGTAAAGCATTCCACTGTCGACCTCCTGCTTGGCCTGCAGCTTAGCTTGCTGATAAACTTCTGAAGTTTCTGGTTCACAGAGACCCAGTTGCACAATATTAGGAAATGGCTGTCGTCCAAGAAGGTGCCCATTTAAAGATAAAAACTCCTGAAAATTCTCACAGACTGTGTAATCCTGTGAACAAAATGAAATCTCTCAGAAACATAACTAGAGCCAATATCTGACATTTTTTCTGTTTCTGTGATCCTATCGCTTTATAAGCTTAAATGAGACATTTTCTATATGAACTAAAACTGAATAGCCAACCATTAGGTAACAAATTATATAGAGTTCTTCTGACTTTGGAAGCATAGGGTAAAACTCTCATTGTCAAAGTGCTATTTCTTAACACATTAAAAACCACTGAACACTATTCCTTCCCAACTCTCAAACCTTAATTCCATCCATATTCCCAGAACACCCAGTTAAAAAAAAGGTAGTAAGTAGGCTCAGAAGCAAAATAATTAGAATAACCGAAGTTCAAAGTAGGGAAATTATCTTTCTTTACCCGTTCTATTCTGCCCATTCCCACTATTATACTTAGAATTAAATGTCAAAATAAAATGCCCCTTAAATACATATTTTTCATGTTAATACATACCTTTTCATCCAGTATATGCCTGTATTCCACAAATTCATGAATCAGATGAGCAGGGCCTACAAGTTCTGTTTTTGCTTTAATCCAATCCAGGGAAAACATTAAAGCACAAAGTTCCTTCAAAAAAAAAAAGGATCAGCAGCACTGTTAAAGAGGTCAAAAAATTTTAGTATACTATCATTACCCTAATAATACTGAAAGAAATTTAGCAGATATCTAGAGTTTAGGGACACAAAGGGAGTTAGTTAAAAAGAACACACCAATAGTTCCAAAGAAACATAAAATGGACCTCACACCTTAAATCAAAATAAATTTCAGATGGATTAGACATTTAAATATAAAAATTTTAACACTTAAAAAATACTAGATGACACAGGTAAGTATTTTTGTAATTTTGAGGGTAAAGGAGATCTTTGTAAACATGACAGCATTGTAAAACACCGAAAAGACAAATAGTGGTGGTACATGTGACTACATAAAAATTCAAATCTTCAATATAGTAGAAAACATATATGACAGACAATGGCTTCATACTCTGTGGAAAATTCTAACAAAATAATAAGATAAAACACCAACAGAAAAATAGGTAAAGATAACAGACAAGAGCCAATTCACAAAATCAGTACAAATGACCAAAAATTTCACCAGTAATCAAATCAAAATGACAAAGGTTTATCATTTTTTTAATATCTGATTTCTAAAAACTAAAAAAATGATAATAAGAATAGTTACTGGAATCAGAGGAAATGAACACTGTTATATACTGTTGATAGTAATATAAATTGGAGCACCTTTCTGAAATGTAGCTTGGCAATCTGTATTAAAATTTAAACTGTACACACCACTTGACCCAGAAATTCCACTTATAAGAATATATCCTAAGAAAACAATCAGACTAGTACACTTAAACAATCTAACTGTCCATCAATCAACTGGCCAATTATAATACAGCTATACAATGAAATAGTATACAGCTTTCAAATTTATGTCAATCTACATAAACTGACATAGGAAGATGGCCATGAAATATAATTAAGTTTAAAAAAGCAAGTTATAAAACTTTATTTCTACAGAACTTCAAATTCTTACTGAAAACCAGACTTACTGGACACAATGAAATGGAGGAACCCTCGAATCTAATGCCTGGAGACGACTTTTGAACCTTGCGCAAAAACTATCCCATGAAGTCATCTTCAAACTAAATCGCAATTTAGCTCAAATAAAGAATGTCTGCCTTGAGCATTGCGTTCTACTGCAGAATTACCTACGTGAGATTGAAATGACAACAGTAACTCTAAAGCACAGATGAGAACTTTAAGGGGCACAGAGTATAACTTAACAGTGGTAAGTCAACAGGGTCAGAGATACTGACAATGGTGACACGTGTATGTATGTAACTACTGTCAATGAACTGTACATGTAAAAATTGCTGAACAAGTGTGTTTTGTTGTGTATATTTTCACCAAAAAAACCACTCTATTTCTATTATGATCCCAATTTTGTTTTGAAGAGTAAGTGTATCTGAGCAGCAAAATTATCTAGAAAATGATACACAAAATCATTAGTAATGGTTGTGATCTTCATTTTCTTCTTTGTAGTTTTTTTTCTAAGCTTTTCCAATGAAAATAAACCATTACTTTTAAAATCAGAAAAAAGGCTAAACAAAAAAAAAGTAAGAAGAAGCTGAATCCTGCCATATCATCATACAATATCAAAAGTTTTAAAAAGATACATTAACCCAGTAATTCTAATTCTAGGAATTTTCCAAGGAAATAATATAAGTGAAAGATAAACAAGAATATTCATTACCATATCATAAAAGCAAAAAACTGAAAACAACTTCAATGCTCAATAAATTAGAATTTGGTTAAATAAATTTGGGCACGGACATTTATCAGAATAGCATCAATCCAATGCAGATTACTAAATGTAAACTATATTTTGCTACGTGAAAAAAAAAAAGCAGGCTACAAAACAGTACAACACTTTTATAACCTAAACCATAGAAAAATTACTAAAATACATGTGTTTTGCAAAATGTTAACATTTTGAGTAGTTAGTTGAAAGTGCATGAGATCAAATACCATCTATGTGCTGATTAAGTCTCAATTTTTATCTTTACTCCAGAGCTGTTCTCTGAAAATCTCGATTCATATATTCCTCCTCAGCATTTCCATCAACAGGTATATCAGACTTAATATGTTCAAAGCAAATTCCTAACCAGCCCCCTCAAAACAAAACAAAACACAAAAAAAACCTCGTTCCTCCCACAGACTTGCCCATCTCAGTTCATGGCAGCTCCATTCTTTCCACTGCACAAGCCTGGAGTCATCTTTGATTTTCTCTCATAATAAACATCAAGTCCCCATCAGCAAATCATGACAACTCAACCCTATATCATCACTTTCTTTCTTTCTCCTTGTCCTGGTTTCTTCTTCTTCAGAGCATGTACTACTCCCTGACATATTATAAATGGATGTGTACTCTCTGTCTACCTCTAGAATATAAGCTCCATGAAAGCAGGTAATTAGTGCCTGTGCTATATCCTCACACTGAAGAACAGGACCAGCACATAAGAGACACTCAATAAATACTTGTTGAATGAATAAATATACTTTTCCATCCTCTACTTCTCAAAGCATAAATAATAAATCCACACTACCCATAAAGGAAGGCTACCAGTAGGACAGTGAATTCATAGAAGGTTCATTTATCACAATTACTAAAACAAAGAAACAAAACAAACCATTGCCATCCAGTCAAATCTGACTCATGGCAACCCTGTGTGTGTTACACAGCAGAACCACTCCATAGGGTTCTTCTTGGCTGTAATCTTTACAGAAACAGATCATCAGGCCCTTCTTCCGCAGTGTGACTGGGTGGATCCAAACTGCCAATCTGTAGGTCAGTAGTCAAACGCAAACTGTTTGCACCACCCAGGGACCTTTTTTGCAATTACTAGGTACCTTTAAAATCACTGCAGGTAAACACGGTAACAAAGACAAAAATATTTATACAGCATTTTTATTAATAAAACAAAACCCTAATCATAGGACAAAAGGAAAGTAAGACAAAATAAAATAATTTTTAAATGCATCATCTTACTTTGTGCATACTGGCACTGGCCATGTGATAGGCCAGAAAGTTGTACCAATACATGCAATCCTCCTGATCTGGTGAAAGACGATGTAGCTGATGATGCCTTCGGAACTGAGTAATCATCTTCTTATGCAGATCCTGAAACCCAAATTGAACACTTCAAAGGCAGAAACAATTTCATAACCTAAATATCACAGTAACTTCAGCTTCTAAAACTATTAAGAATGTACAGAGAAACTCCCCACAAGATACTTATTCATTATAGACGGAAAAAACAGTAACTTTACGGTGGAAAAACCAGGCAGACACCACTTTATCCAAGTGGCCAAAGTTGGTGGCACAGTGGTTAAGAGCTATGGCTGCTAACCAAACGGTCGGCAATTGGAATCCACCAGCTGCTGCTTGAAAATCCTATGGGGCAGTTCTACTCTATCCTATAGAGACGCTATGAGTCGGAATCAACTCAACAGCAACGGGTTTGGTTTTTTTTTTTTTGGTTAATAAGAATACATGTTGACACCATGTACCCCCCAACATGATGCACTAAGAAGGGCACTACATCATTTCCGCAGTATGCTTGCCAAAAACACATAACCTCAATCTAATCATGAGAAAACATCAGACAAATCCAAATTAAAGGACATTCTACAAAATAAGTGGCCAGTACTCTTCAAAAGCTACAAGGCCATGAAAAACCAAGAAAAACTTAGGAATTTTCTAAAGGAAATGATTACTAAGGAAACACAATAATTACATGCAATGTGGGATCCTGAACAGGATCTGAACTGGAAAAAGGACACAACTGGGAAAGCTAGCAAAATAAAGTCTGTGGATTAGCCAACAGTATTGTATCAAAGTTAATTTTCTGCCTCTGATAATTATATTATGGTTATGTAAGATGTAAACATTAGGGAACACTAGGTAAAGGGTGTATTCATAGAAATACTCTAATATTTTTGGAACTTTTCTGTAAGTCTAAAATTACTTCAAAATAAAACATTAGAAAACAAGGGAATGTACAAAAGATGCAGGTACCTGAAGTTGGCTGCGATTCTTCTCTGTAAGGAAGTCTACTTGAAGATCATGTAAATAATAATGAAATGACCTTCCATTCCGATCACAGAATAAGAGAGACTTATTAACAAACTCCTGCAGTATGTCTTCAACTTCTTCAGTTTCCATGTCCCAGAGAATACATAAAACCTAGAAATCATTTAAAGCATTTAATGTGCCACAGAAGTAAAATGACCAGGACTGTAGACAAGGGATTAACATAAAAAAATCGTATCTTAAAGCCCTGAATGTTTCCATTTCATACAATGAAGCCCAACTCTTAAGATAGAAAAGAGAAGGAGAGACAGAAATAGAAGCTGGATGCTTCTCCAGCTTCACTGTAAGAAACAGGTAACTCATGGGTTTAACACAGAGCCCTTGATGGAGACTAAGAGCAGTGGGACTTCTGCACCCGGCATCCCACCACCCCATTCACATGGATCTTATCTTCCAGTATCCTCTGTAACAACATCCTCAGTATTACATCAAAGGTTACATGCCATAAATACCCAATGACGAGACTCTAAAGATTGTTGGTCCTTCTATTACCTTTGTAGGCACTTTAACATCCTTCTGAAGGATGGAAAGATCTGTGTAATAATTCTTGATGTCTTCTCTGAGCATTTCAACACTTATAGACATGGCTTCATCCAAAGCCTCATAATCATAAAACGAAGATTTCCTGATTCTCTTAAATTGCTTATTCTGAAGTTGCCTGAGGTAGTACTCCCAACGATTGGGAAAATCACGTAAAAGCGCACCAATTAAAGACACTACAAGAGGAGAACCTAAAAAAAGAAAAAAAAAGTAGTCACTGTACTATAACTGTCTCATTTTAAAATTACCACTAATTTAAGAATCAACTTACTCTTAGGAAGTAATTTCTACTGCATTTTATCCAGGGCCTTAAAATATTTATAAATTTTGGGTTCACTTCTAGGTATATTTATTCTAAGGAAATCATTAGAAATAAGAAAGATTTCATTTAAGGATATTCATTTAAAATATTTAAATATTTAAAATTGTGAAAAATCTTAAACAATGTCCAGTAGTAGTAAAATGGTGGAATAAATTAAAGTGTATCACAATATTATGTCACTGCTAAATCTGTGTTTTCAAAAAAATAGTTAATGACATAGGGAAATACTCATGATATGTTATATGAAAAGGGCAAGATTCAAAACTATGTCTATATATTATAATCTCAATATTCTAAAAATATCATATATACCTATAAAAAACTGGAAGAAATAGTCTTGATGCTAATAATTATCAGATTATGGATAATTGCTATTTTCTCTTTAGTGTTTCAAACATTTTTTAACTGTTTCAAAATACATGCATCATTTTTATAATGAATATAAATCAAGTATTTTTCCAAGTTTAAGATTTTTTTTAGGTCAGTTAACTCAAAACCAAGTATCTATTTGATAGCAGAAAGAAAAATAAGAAGTTCTAAGCATAATAACAATGGAAAAAATAATCTGAAGAATTAATAAATATAACTAAATAAAAATTTTTAATTTCTGTATGACAAAAGATACTACAAATGAAACTAAAAGGCACATAAAAAAATCAGAAAAAATATTTGCAAAAATACGTCCAAGAACTAATATTTTCAATAGTGTCTAAAACTAAATTTAAAATACTTAAATTTCAAAAGAAGCGTCAGTCAAAAGTAAAAAGTTTAACTTTACTAATAAAAAATGCAAATTAAGAAGACAACACCAGTTTTTACTTACCAAATTAGAATACTGTTTTTATAAAACCTCAACTCAAAAAAAAAAAAAATTTCTGTCTTTCACTATATTTCTTACTTTTCGACAGCAGATATCACGTCTTCATCTCACCCCTCTCGGCAGCAAGGTTCCTAACATATTGTGTGTGTTCATTAAATATTTTTTGAATGATTGAATATGTATCATTTAATGATAACAGGTATCGTTTAAGGTTATTAAGAACTTAAAACACTAAATATCCTAGGAAAATTTTTGGATGCTCATATGCTAAATATCATATTCATTAGCTTAATTTACAAAATGGAATAAATATCCCCATAACCTCCCTCATATACAAAATAAATAACTATACCTTTACATTCTCTTATAATACTATGAGCTTGTTCTGGCAAATCTGCTTTCTTCATATTAACAAAAAGGGATAAAATTTCAAGTCCTTTTTCTTTTCCTAAGCCACTCTCCACAGGAACTACATATTTAGGGCCTGCAACAAAAATTAAGACACAGTAAGTAATTTAGTATGCCATACAGACCTGGTGACCTGTTCCCGTAAAGCTTATAGCCTAGGAAACTCTATGGGACAGTTCTACACTGTCCTATAGGGTCACTATGAGTCAGAATTGACTTGACGGCACCCAACAACATATTTAAATATAACTGAATTAAAATATAAAGGTTTTGAAAAAGTGAGTTAATAATCCTTACCCATTACTGAATCTGTAACACTCTTGTCTCTGGTTGTAAGAAGAATTTGACACTGATTGTCAAAAGCTTTTAAAACCCAAGGATCCCAAACATCATCCAAGATCAAAAGAGACCTAATTAAAAAAACAAAGCAAAACAAAAATGCAATGAGTCACTAACGGCACTTATTTTAAGTTTCTTTTAAAAAAGATAATGCCACCAGGCTCTTTTAAATCTAAAAAAATAAGTAAAAAAGGGAATAGATGTCTAGTTTATGATTCTTCCTATTTTCTTTTTCCCGATAAGCTGCTTTAAATAAGAAAAAATTAGAGACTTCCCACTTCCCTGCCCACATATCCCAAATCGATACATGTTAAAGTTAAGGACCCTACAAAAAAAGGACTTTGTACAGGTAAGTATTAGTAATTTATTGATTCAACCATGCTGGAAGCTATTCCACCAGTATTCAAATACCAGCAGGGTCACCCATGGCAGAGAGGTTTCAGCTAAGCTTCCAGACTAAGACAGACTAGGAAGAAGGACCCAGCACTCTACTTCTGAATAGAATTAGCCAATGAAAACCTTAAGAACAGCAGCTGAACACTGTCTGATATAGTGCCGGAAGATGAGTCCCCCAGGTTGGAAGGACACAGTGGCTGCAACAATGGGCTCAAGCATAACAACGACTGTGAGGATGGCACAGGACCGAGCAGTGTTTCGTTCCGTTGTACACAGTGTCATTATGAGCTGGAACCGACTTGACAGCACCTAACGACATCACTTACCTAGTGCCTAAAAAGAACGACCCAACTAATGGGATTTCTCAATTCAGTCTTTAAGCCTCAAAACCAAACTGGAACTGGGCCCAAGTTAGTACTGGGATAAATCACATACACTGATGATATGTGACCACTTTTGACCTATAAAACTGGCAATTTTATATGATACAACCTAACAAAACGTACTAGTACACTAGTGGGATTCTTTTTTTTACATCTAAGAAATCAATTTGTTCATTTATAATGACAAGGTACCTTTGTGTCAATTTCTGATTGGTCTAAGAACTTTTCTAAATTTACCAAAAGAAATGGAGAAAAAATATAACTAAAACCTGATAGCATAATTATACACTAGCATCTGAATGGCACACTACTTCTGTACAGTATAAAAAAACTATTCCAGGTACCTACACAGGTTGGCAAATTGCAAAAACACACAGTAAAATGATACTGAGAGAGAAACAAAAGGATTGGCTTTATAAGCCATGATCTGATACATTTGATAGTGGTTGCAATCTTTTCCTGAACAGAAGTCACTGTCATTTTCCAAAAAAGAGGGAAGCAGGATTATATGAGAAGTTACGGAGCAAGAAAGAGGGAATGGTTAGTGGTCTCAATCCTATTCCCTCTAGGAAAATGGATACCAGTGATCATTAAAGGTGGGGGAGGGATGATGGAAGGTCCAGAGAAGACAGAAGGAAGAGAGAAGGGAGACCATCTGCAGTGGGAATGCATCAGAATACCTAGGGGGCTTTCTCCAAAAATTATTCCTCTCCCCACCCCCACCACCCCAACTCCCAGTATTCTGATATTAATCCTTCTACCAATTTGAGAACCACTGCCATACTCAGCCACTTTTACATATTAAAGTGTACTGCATCCTCTGGTACATCAGGGTGTTAAAAAAAAAAGTTCAGAGCCATTACCTAGTTCTCTCCCAATATACTATAACACTACCAAAGCATGCTTTATTCATCTTTGTACTTATAGCACTTGGCCCAGAACCCGGCACAACAATGTTGATTAAACGAACAAATGAAAGAATAAGTGCTAGATCACTAAAATCAAACTGTTGATTGAGTCTGAGGTTATACTCTTAACACAAGCAGCAACTAAGCTGCTGTCTCCCTCTTGGCTAATGAAAACTGCCAAATAGATGATAATAGTGTATGGCACATAATTATAATGGCAATTAATTAACTGATGAAAGAACAAATAACACAAACATTTAAAGTACATGGAAGTAGAAGAGTTACGTTTATATCTCTAAAAAAACTAAGAGAAGAGTCCTATTAGGAAATTCCTCCTTACTCAGCCTTTTACCAGTTACCTACATTTATTCTCTCTCTTGTTCTGTGTTAAACATTAGAAAAAGTAATGGATTCAAGGTTAGGAGCTTACACTTTTTAGCAAAGATCATGTATCTACTCAAGGAATATTTCTTCAGAGCCTACAATAGTACATATGAGACACTTTGTACGTAAGATGCAAAGCAGAGAAAGGTGGTGATCTCAGGCCAAGAGACCACCGCTATTTTTTCAATATAAAAAAGAGAACAGCAGGAAAGCAACGACTCTTTCTTAAGGGATCTACAGAACAGCAGGAAAAGGGAGTGATGTTCACACAATGTCAGTAGTTAAGCGCCTACTGTTATGTCATATACCAGCAAAATTTGACCATCCGTACCTTGGGTGTTTGTGCAGCATCAGAATGCGGAGACGGTCTTTAGCTTCTTCAATATTAAGTGGAAGCCTCTGGGAGAAACTATTATCCTGATCCAACCGTGCGCAAAGATTCTGCAGTTTCATCAGAAGCCCAGATTTATCTTGTTTCCCAACTGAAACCCAATGCACACCTCCTGGGAAACAACCTGGTGAGGAAAAGAATCAATAAACTTAAGGTCTTTGAACAGGACTCTTCCTTTGAATGATTTTATTGATAACGAGCAGATTTATTCCAATCTTCAATTTCTTCATGCCTTCAACTTCTCTTGATTTAGGCTTTAAATTTTGCTTAATAGGATGTTGTTGGGCTTTACAGCCTGAACCCAAGAGAAGTTGAAGATGCAAAGAAATATAAGACTGGAGTAAATCTGTTGCTTATCAATAAAAACCTACCAAATAAAATTTCAGTCTTTGTCCTGTGTCATTAATGACCAGTATATAGCAGAATTTCTCAATCTCAGCACTCCTGAAATTTTGGTCAAAATAATTCTTTGTTGTAAGAGACTGTCCTGTTCATTGCACAGTGTTTAGCAGCTTCCCCGGCCTCTATTCACTAGATGCCAGTAGCACTACTCCCCAGTTACAACAACCCAAAATGTCTCCAGACATTGTCAAATGCCTCCTACAGGGCAAAATCACCCCTGGTTGAGAACCACTGATGTCCAGGAACACAAAACTCACTCTTTATGCTTCTTTTATACAAACTTCGAATAAGAACTTAGGCTCAAGTCTTGACTCTACTGCCTACTAGTTATGCAATCTTTAGCAAATCACTTAACTTCGGTCTCATCATCTGTTATACTGGAATAAGACCATCTAACTCACCTATTTCAGAGTTCCTGTGAGAAACCAATGATATAAAACATGCAGAAGTGCTATGTTAACTGTAAAGGATTATAAGAGACTGGGTTTTTAGTGTTACAGAGCTCAGAAAAACCTTACAAATATTAAGCTTTGAACCATTAAGCACTATACAAAAGTGGGCATTATTATTATTACTGTTACTGTTGTTATCATCATCAAGTTACAGCATATCTTGAAATATCTTTGCTGACATATGTAGCAAGAAGCAAAAGTCAAGACTCTTAAGTCTTCATAGGCTATATGTAATCAGTTTCACATAAAATTAAAAAAATCTATATGAGGGGCCCATACGTGTAAAATACAGTAAACAGTGGCATTAGAGCATACCAGTGGCATTAACCATAAGATTTCTATTTATTTGATCTTAAAAGTATAAGTAAAAAGTACAACAAAAGGCAATTTATCTGTTGGTATTCACAAATAATTAAATACAAGGAATCACTAGTGTAAAAACTTAAATCATCCAAAAGAAATACTTGTACATGTGCACAAAGATCTGTGTATGACAGATACTTACTGGTACTATTCGAAGGTTTCTACATATATTAATTCATTTAACCCTCACAGCACACTACCAAGCAGACAGTATTATCATCCCCACTTAGAGATGAGGAAACTAAAGTATAAGGAAAAAAAAAACCAAATCCACTAACGAGTTGATTCTGACTCGTAACCGAGGTACAGAAAAGGTTAATTAATTTGTCCAAGGTTACACAGCTAATTAATTTGTCCAAGGTTACACAGAGCTGGGATTCAACCCTCCAGCATCAATGCTCAATTTCTACACTATTCTGCCTCCTGTCTACAACAGGCAACAGCTAGAAACAACCTGCAATGTCCAGAATAGCCTCCTTTCTCACTGCAGGCTTCCCAAGCATAAGGCAGGTTCACTGAGGAAGAAGAGAGTCTTCATCTATAAATAAAATTTGGAATATTAAATAGAATTTGACAGTTTAATTATTGAAGTGAGATTGCTTTTGTACCCTGAAGTGACCTGGAGACTCTGAATCTGTACTAGGTCAAGGAAAGAACTGGTCCCACCAGACAGGTTTGAACAGCCAATGAGGGGAAAGAATAAAATTGTTTTCTAATCATGCTCTACAAATCCCAATGCAATGGCCACATTCACTAAATAAATCCAGTAAAAGTAACAAGGTTTATGATTACAAATTTAAATTGGAACTCAGCTGGGTGATTTTCTCCAGCAAAGAGGGAATAATAGTCTGGAGGAAGCAACAGGGAGCAAGGAGGAATACCTACTCCATCTTCTGACATGGAGAAAGTGTCAGCTTTCACCCAAGATACAGTTCTATAAGGCCAGGCAGAGGAGGGAACTAGAGAGCCAAGAGTACGCGTAAGGGATAAATGAATACAGGCAATAAAATCTGGGCTCAAGTCTAGGAGGGGGCTGATGAGATAAATAGCAAGAATATTATGTAATCAATGGATGAAAAGTCTTGATACGTCTAAGAACCGTAGCAGTGAACCTGAAGAATAGGAGAATAGGTGGAGACAGGTAAAGGGTAGAATGTTTAGTATAAAGATTTCAAAAGTGGTATAACTTTGCAAAACGGATGAGAAAACATGATCTGTCTATACACTGCCTACAAGAGACACACCTTAGACTTAAAGACACAAACAAACTAAAACTCAAAAGATGGAAAAATATATCAAGCAAACAACATTCAAAAAGAGCAGGAGTGGCAATATTAATCTCTGACAAAATAGACTTTAAAGTAAAATCCATCACAAAGGATAAGGAAGGACACTATATAATGATTAAAGGATCAGCACACCAGGAGCAGGATATAATTATAATAAATATTTACGGACCCAACGACAGGGCTCCAAAATACATAAAACAGACTCTAACGGCATTGGAAAGAGAGATAGACAGCTCCACAATAGTACTGGGAGACTTCAACACTCCACTTTCAGTGAAGGACAGAAAATCCAGAAAGAAGCTCAACAAAGACATGGAGGAGCTAAATGCTAGTCAACCAACTTGATCTCATAGACATATACCGAACACTCTACGCAACAGGAGCCAAGTATACTTTCTTTTCCAACGCACATGGAACATTCTCCAGAATAGACCACATATTAGGCCATAAAGCAAACCTTAACAGAATCCAAAGCGTGGAAATATTACAAAGCATCTTTTCTGATCATAAAGCCATTAAAGTAGAAATCAACAACAGAAAAAGAAAGAAAAAAACATTAAACACCTATAAACTGAACAAGACCTTGTTCAAAAACTACTGGGTTATAAAAGAAAGTAAGGATGGAAGAAAGAAATTCATACAATCAAACGAGAATGAAAACACACCTTACCAGAACCTTTGGGACACAGCAAAAGCAGTGCTCAGAGGTCAGTTTATAACAATAAGCGCACACATCCAAAAAGAAGACAGGGCCATAATCCAAACGTTAACCCTACAACTGGAACAAGCAGAAAGAGAGCAGCAAAAGAAGCCCTCAGGTGCCAGAAGGAAGGAAATAGTAAGAATTAGAGCAGAATGAAATGAAATAGAGAACAGAAATACAACTGAAAGAGTTAACAAGCCCAGAAGCTGGTTCTCTGAAAAGATCAACAAAATTGATAAACCATTGGTCAAACTGACAAAAGAAAAATAAGAGAGGAAGCAGATAACCCATGTAAGAAATGAGATGGGTGTTATCACAACAGACCCAACCAAAATTAAAAGAATCATAAAAGAATACTATGAAAAATTGTACTCTAACAAATTTGAAAATCTAGGGGAAATGGACAAATTTCTAGAAACTCACTACCTACCTAAACTAACACAGAGGTAAAACAACTAAATAAACCTGTAACAAAAGAACAGATTGAAAAGGTAAATAAAAAACTCCCAACAAAAAAAACCCCTGGCCCAGATGGCTTCACTAAAGAATTCTACAAAACTTTAAGGGACGAGTTAACACTACTACTACTAAAGGTATTTCAGAGCATAGAAAAGGACAGAATACTCCCAAACTCATTCTATGAGGCCAGCATAACCCTGATCCCCAAACCAGATAAAGACACCACAAAAAAAAGAAAATTACAGACCAATATCCCTCATGAACATTGACGCAAAAATCCTCAACAAAATTCCGGGCAATAGAATTCAGCAACATATCAAAAAAATAATTCACCATGATCAAGTGGGATTTATACCAGGTATGCAAGGATGGTTCAACCTTAGAAAAACAATCAATGTAATCCATCACGTAAATAAAACAAAAGACAAGAACCACATAATCTTATCAATCGATGCAGAAAAGGCATTTGACAAAGTCCGACACCCATTTCTGATAAAAACTCTCAACAAAATAGGAATAGAAGGGAAATTCCTCAATATAATTAAGGGCATTTACCCAAAGCCAACAGACAACATCATCTTAAATGGAGAGACTTTGAAAGCATTTCCCTTGAGAATGGGAACCAGACAAGGATGCCCTTTATCACCACTCTTACTCAACACTGGGCTGGAGGTCCTAGCCAGAGAAATTAGGCTAGAAAAAGAAATAAAGGGCATCCAGATTGGTAGGGAAGAAGTCAAAGTATCTCTATTTGCAGATAATATGATCTTATACACAGAAAACCCCAAAGAATCCACAAGAAAACTACCCGAAATAACAGAAGATATCAGCAAAGTTTCAGCATACAAGATAAACATACAAAAATCAGTGGGATTCCTCTACACCAAAAAAAGAACACTGAAGAGGAAATCACCAAATCAATATCATTTACAATAGCTCCCAAGAACATAAAATACTTAGGAATTAATCTAACCAGAGATGTAAAAGACCTATACAATGAAAACTACATGACATTACTGCAAGAAACCAAAAGAGACCTGCGTAAGTGGAAAAATACACCTTGCCAATGGATAGGAAGACTCAACATTGTGAAAATGTCAATTCTACCCAAAGCGATCAACAGGTACAATGCAATATCAATCCAAATTCCAACAGCATTTTTTAATCAGATGGAAAAACAAATCACCAACTTCACCTGGAAAGGGAAAAGGCCCTGGATAAGTAAAGCATTACTCAAGAAGAACAACAAAGTGGGAGGCCTCACACTACCTGATTTTAGAACCTATTATACCACCACGGTAGTCAAAACAGCCTGGTACTGGTACTACAACAGATATACAGACCAGTGAAACAGAATTGAGAATCCACACATAAATCATCTACCTATGAGCACCTAATATTTGACAAAGGCCCGAAGTCTGTTAACTGGGGAAAAGGCAGTCTCTTTAACAAATGG